GGGGGCACACTAAGAGGTAAGTCTACCATATTGTGTATAGAGCTCCAGGGGCCCACAGTGGATTTAGCTCCACTAGAAGATATTGCCTTAGCTTAAAGTCTTTTCTCCAACAGTAAATCATTCACATCCATGTCCATGGTGACAATGTTCACCATAACCAATAACGAGAATTAATCTCCAACAAACAGCAATTAAAGCCAGACAGATATTTTAACCCTTCCACTTTCTGCCCAAAATGAAAATAAAAAGTACACTTTAAAATGACTTTGTCATGAGAAAAATATGGGAGCTGCCATTACTGGCCCTCTTTTGAAAATGCTATATGTCTGGCTGTGTATGACTTGAATAATTTCACAGACTTGGAACAAATGTGCTGTAAATACATGTCTGAAAGATATCATAATTGCTCATCTCTTTGTTCCAGGTCAGAGACTCAGAAAGTGTTAAAGTCAAAGCATTAGAATGACAGCCAGGGAACAAACATTCTCAAAAGAAAAGGTCCACAAAGCCAGCCCCCCCCCCCCCCCCCCCATACTTTCCTCATGACAGAGTCACTTTAAGTATACTGCGTAATATATGCCTGTTATACTGTAGCTACTGTTTTGTATCTGCGTTAGGTGGAGTGAGATCTGAAAGAGACTGCAGGACATTACCCCAACCAACGATGAGTGCACTTCGCATGAAGTCTTCTGGCGTAAAAGGGGAGACGCGAACCAGACGGATACACAGCTCCACTGCCAACATTGCTGTCAATGTGAACGTTGTAAGGAGGAAATAGTGCAATAGAACAGCCAAGGTTGCACATAGAGGTTGTGGAGGATCAAAACGTTCATATGGTATAAATGTATTACTTGAATCGCCAGTATTGGAATTGCTATCTTTCAACACGGTGTATTCCATTGTAGCAATAAATATTATATAGAAGATTAGCATGGCTGTACAAAGACTCAGCAGTATCCATGATTTCTTTTCTTTCTTTCTAAATCTGTAAAATAGTCACATTAGTAATGTACAGTAATATTACTCATTCACAGACAGATCTTTTGATTTGTCACAATAGTAAAGAAGCACAGGTTTACTCCGTAAGAAAAAGAACAATATAACCCATAGCGTCCAATCCCCACCTACTGCAGGCCCCAGAAGTACCTTGTGCTGAAAGATCATTTGGTCTCCTTTAAAGAGACCCTGTCACCAACCCATTTCTAAACAGATAAATATACTAAGTAAAGGCAGGGCTGTATTAGCACTTTTGAGCCAGTACCTAGGGTAGCATGGTTAGAGGAGGCAGCACAAGCCTCAGATTCATAGCAACTAATCAGAAGCAGCAGGGGTTGAATAATGACAGCAGCACTGACCTTAGTCACTGCCCCTGTCATTATTCAACCTGTGGTGCTGCCAGTTAGTTGCTAGGGTTGCCTGGCATTCTAGCAATCAACCATCAGCAGCCAGGGAGTTGAATGATACAGCAGGTTAAATGAACATGGTGGTATCTGGTTGCTAGGACCGCCAAGCATCCTAACAACAATTGACTTGCTGCCTCCGCAGTTCCAGCCCTTCCCAGCATTCAACTCTGCATGTATGCCTATTGCCTGCCCCCCCTCATTCAGCCGTCCATCCCCACCAAGTAAGCTGCTGTCTGCAAGGTATATACTCTTGGGAGTAAGAGGGGATGCTGGGCAATAGGTCCCCAGCATCCCCCTTACATCAGAGTCCCCAGAATTGTCCCTTTCATTGGAGTGCCCCATTGCATTAGAGTCCCCCCTTACATCTGAGTCCTTAGGACTCAGATGTAAAGGGGATCTCTGGGGATGCTGATATAAGGGGGGACTCTGGAGACTCTGATGTAAGTGGGAACTATGAAGACTGTGAGGTATGAGGGGACTCTGATGAAAGGGGGGAAGCTGAGGCAAGGATGAACACTGATGCAAGGGGAGACTCTGATGTAAGGGGGGGGGGGGTCTGGGCCCTGAGCCTGCCCTTACATTACAGCCCCCCTTATAGAGCCTGATATAAGGGGGGACTCTGATGTAAGGGGGAGCTATGGGAACCTTAATGTAAGGGGGACTCTGATGTAAGGGGAAAATATGAGGACTCTCATTTAAAGGGAGACTCTGATGCAAGGGGAGCTCTGGGGATTCTAATGTAAGGGGCTTTGGGGACTCTGACGGAAGGACTCTGATGCAAGTTTGGCTTGTATTTTTGAGTTTATATTATGGTAACTTTATCTAAAATATGGGTGTCAGTTTTTGGAAAGGCACGCAATTTCCGTGCTTGCCATAGGTGCTATTATCTTTAGATATGTCTCTGTCTGTAGGTACTAAAGGTGCCCACATCCCGCGATCGTACGATTATCGCAAGGTGTGTGGAAGGCGTGCAACTGTTTCTACTGTACGGTCGCACAACTTTTGTCTTTCGAGCATGTTCGAAAACCAGCCGAGAATCGTACGATTTTCGGCTGGTTTGTAGCAGGATCGTGAGATAAATGCCGCACGGGCCGGGGTGCGCAAGCGCACGCTGCCCGTTCAGCATTGCGCTGATCGGAAGTGCTTGCGATTATCGCAAGTACGATCTGCCTGTCCAAGATATGCAGATCGTATATTTTTCTAATTACCTTACAACCATCGCAAGACGAAAAGTCTTGCGATGGTTGTAAGGTGTGTGGCCAGCTTAAGTCACAGAATTCAATACGTTTGTTTTAGCTGCCAGTAAAGTCAAGCACTCAGCATGCTACAGGCAGACACACCATATAGCATCTTGTGAACGCTGCAACTGAGAACCAGCCAGAAAAGAAAACAATGGTTTATAGTATTTAGCTTGTATAATTATGATTTAATTAATGAAAAAAGAAAAAAACAAACTTTAATAAGTTCACAATGAAAGTAATTTATAGCCATGTACCTCACCTGGCATAAAGCAGAAATACTACCGTAACAGCTAATCCCACCACGGAAAGTACGCAGCCAGTGGTTGACACTATATTAAGTTCTGGAGATGTAATGTTTTCTTTGAAACTCTGAAAACAGGAACATACGCAATTTAGCATGCAAAGAGAAGCCAAAGTAAACTGTGACCTTGTCCTACTCTAACCTAATTGATCCATGCCCACATATTGAGCCTTTAAAGGCCCATTCATACCTATGCACTTTGCACCCTGCATTATCTTATTGTAAATAAGACTCTTTAAGTATCTAGTTAGTTAAGTTAGTAATAAGAATTGAGTTCAATTAGAATGTACATTTCCATGTGTTAGTTAAAGAGGCAGAACAGCAGGCACACCTTGCCTTGAGTATCCCTTTCTCGGATTGAACCCTCGGACTAAGCCATCTTATAAAGGAGTCATTGCTGTGATGGTTTATTCAAGTTATGTAATCAACTGCCTATTTTCAGCATAGCTGATTGTGATACAATGTTTTAAACACACAGCGTTTCACCTGCTGGCTGGTTAAAGGACTATATAAAATAAGTATGCAATATTTAATATTTTCTGGCTTAAAAAAGGAAATGATTTAACATTGTTTTTCCTCAGAATAATTTAAAAAATATGGACAAATTAACATTAATCACCCTTAAAACTAAATCTGCGCTGAGCAAATACTGTCTAAATACAAGAGGAATGTGTACTCTTACTTCAATATTGGTGTGCTTTGTGTATGTCTTCCAGATCTGTGCAGTAATACAGTGTAAAATTTGCCTCTGTGCTGGAGCTTCCTGTAATAAAGACCGGTCATTGCTGCTCCCTCCCTGTGCAGGGTGACTGTAATGCCTCTTATGATAAATGATGGAACTACTACTAATACTTGCTGTTAGTTGCACTCAGGCTGCTATGGTGAATTCTCCAGACTGTGGCTGATTGCTGGCTGTGGAAGCTGAAGTGCAGTGTCTGGTTTGCAGTCTTGGTGCACCATGAGTCACAGCAGGCTCAAGTAAGCAGAAGTATTTGGAGGGTTGAGGTAGGAGGCTAATGAGCCTATTCAGAGGCAGGAAGGAGAGCTGGGCTGCTCAGAACTTGTCCGGCCACCACGTCCATTGCAGGAACGCTGGACAAGTGAATTTTCGTGGCTTAAGCCAAGGAGGGGGGCGGAGCGGCATGACGTCAGCGGACACTGGGCGGAGTCACCCTCCGTGTTTGAGACGCCGGAGAGGTACGTATCCTGGATCTATTACAGTGACTGGTCTTCTCTCCGTCCCCTCCTATAGTTTTCTGCAGGCCGCCAGTAGGAGGTGGACCTGTTGGGTCGCTCCCACAGCTCTGCTCTCTGTACAGGCTATGTACAGCACAATGATGATGATTTATTTGGTAATATGCATAAGGTGGTAATATGCATGGTGGCTTATGAGGAAAGTTTTTGTACTCAGAATTCAGCTTTATCTCAGAACCTTACATGCACTAGTTGACAAAGTCTCTAAAAGAGACAAATATACCTATACAAATATACCGCCAAACCATAAAGAACTAAGGAGAAAAAAAGAGTTGGTGAAGGGAAAGGGAGAGCAAAAGGAAGAATATACTTTACATTACCCTGAACTCTCTCAAGGTCTGTAATATGCAGGAAAATTAACATCCTCTTCACTTCCAGTGCAAAGAGGAAAAATCTACTGCCTCAGGGCTGGTCAGACAGAGAGTGGAATAGGTGCTCAATGCCCATCACCACTTGGATATTACAAACTAGGTATAGGGTTAGGACATCTTAAGAATCAGGTCTTTGTTACAGGAAGAGGGGTGTCAGCACCTAGATGACCCACATCTGATATACATGGGTCCCAATTAAATGGGGCCCTTGTGCAGCTGCACAGTCTGCACAAATAGCTTGTCTGCCCATGTCCACATGCATTTATCAGCTTGAGAACCTGTATATTCCATATGTGTCAGTAATAAAAGGGATACATTGGCAGCTTTGTTGTAGTGAGCCTATATTGGAAACATCTGCTAAGTGCACAACAAAGGTAGCACTCTGGAATTCCTAGAGTTCTCTAGGATTACTTGAGATGCCACAATCAGCAGGAGAGACTCCAGATCTGCAGGTTGAAAAATACCCCTGAATGAGGATAACAAGGTCTGACTGCCTGAGGTGCCTATAGGTCATTATAGAACATCAGAAACAGCTAAATTATCACAAGCAATAGTCATAATTAGAGGCATCATTTCCTTTTATAGCCAGCCGAAGCCTTTTTATTTATTTTGAATCTATAAGCAATGTATGTTTTTTTTACCATTAAGACAGCGAAGTTAGTAGTGTGATTGCAGGAGCATCGTAGAGGTAAGGTTTCATTCACCGAGGATTTCTCACAACCAGTAGTATTCCATTCACTCTTATCATAGTCCCAGTAAACACAAGCATATTGTACCAGGATATATGATGGATCAGACTATAAAAAGAAGAGAAGCATAAATAACATGTTTTACTTTAAAAAAAAAAAAAATAATCTTATTGTAGTATAATACAAAATGGGACTCAGATACACTTATTCATATTTCCATTTATATTTCCTGCAGTATAAAATTATACAAAGTATATATTGTGGGTTTCTTGAAGCAATGTTCCTGCAGGATGGAACTCCTGGCTTACTTGCATCCAGTCTTGCCTATAGTCATTCATTAAAGGATATTTAAACCCTTCCGTTTTTTTTGCATATATCTACTGCTAGCAAGCAGTAGATATATGCAAAAAAAAAAAAAAACGCTCAAACAGCAGTTTAGACTTACCCTGTGTCCCGTGCGCGGTCCCATGCGAAAATGAGAAATTTCTGGAGGCCGCAAAGGATCTTGTGGCGCGCGCATGCGCAGTTCTCATTTTTGGCAGGAACGCGACGAGGGACGCAAGCTAAGTCTATGGACGGGTGCACCCGCATGCAGACACCGCTGGATCGGAGGGACAGAGCAGTCAGCGCTGGATCGGAGAGCCGCCGCACCGCTGGAGAGAAGGCTGAAAACATCAGGAAAGAAGAGGAAGATCGGAAAAAGAGACATAATTTAAGGTAAGTGCTGACATTAACATTGGGGGGAGGGAAAAATGTTTTTGCCTTTAATGTCACTTTAAAGGAGCATTATGGGGAGAGTGAAATACACTCATCCCCATAGTTAGTGCCATTATGAGACACTGCAGCTGTCACACGTCTAGAGAGGCAAAGCCAGCTGTCAATCAGGCAGCAGGATGGATCCAGACAATATTGTTGGGATTTTTTCTGACTGCAGCGCAGCTCTGCACTGTCAGCATATAGCGGGCAATAACCATCTAAATGCTGAGTTTTGGGTCACAGGAGTTAGTAAACATCCTACTGTGACCCTAAAGTGAACTACGGCCAAAAAAGTAGGGATGCACAGATACCAGTTCAGATACCAGTGTCGATACCAGACATTTTCACAAGAACTAGCAGGGTTGCAGTGGTTGCAGGTGCGAATGATCGAGAAGTGAGCGAGCGCCGTTATGTGTTCGCTCACTTCCCAATCTACTGAGCCGACCTGTGACAGTTTCATTGTCACAGGTCAGCTCAGATTATGAGGCTGAGTGAAAATCACTTGCATCATAATTCTCCTGTAAGTCTGTAGCCTCTTGTTACATGATTCTGCACTGTCCAACTTCCTCTCTCACTGTGCCTAAGAGACTGCAAGGAGAAATACATTTTAAATGATGTAGTGGCTTAAAGACCCATAGGTATGCCTAGATGTAAACTAGGAAATCCATGGCATGTAGAATGCCATTCCTATATTCATTGCAATGTATGCTTTCAGTCTTGCTTTGGAGTGTAACTTTTAGATAATGGGAATAGCCATATTTTACACAGTACACAAACATACCGTTTGACTGAAGCTAAACTCTACATTGGCATGTATCCCATTGGAAATGTTGGCTGAGATGACTCTTTTTCTATAAGTTAGGTCTCTTTTATGACTAGACTTAAACAGATTATCATTCTGGTAGAGAACAAAACCGACAACTATGTCATTATCAGCACCTGTAAGAGAAATATAAAGGCATGTTATCAATTGTTTGTGAAAACATTATATTCATTCATGGAATAAAATACAAATTCGTCATTGACTATTAGAAATCAAATCTAAGACCTGGCTCACAATTGGTGATCTATTTTATCCCAAAGATGTTCACTAGGGTTAAGACCAGATTTCTTTATACAAGCCACTCGACTTCTTCCACCTCATACCCATCAAACAATGTTTTTATGGACCTGTTTTTGCACACCGTGATGCTGGAACAGAAAAGCGCTATCCCCAAACTGTTGCTACAAGTGTGAAGCACAATTGTCTAATACCCTTAAAGTGGAAATACTTGGGCTCAATCATATGAAGATGTGTCCACATATTGTTAGACATAAAGTATAGGTGTGCGAATCACAGCTGGTCAGGAATAGCTTTTCTGAACAGTCCACGCAAAGTCAAATTTTGATCTGTCAGGTCAACAAAAGATCAACTGCGTACCATAAGAGCCTAGCTAAACAAGTCATCCAAATTAAATGCAATGGGATAAAAAAAATACATGTTTTTTTGGGAGCCTTATGCCAGGCATTTTCTACATACTGATGCAATGGCAAAAATGTCTTTGACAATTTTTATCAAAAGAGTTAGAAAAAAAGTGTTATTCTTTATCTAAATAATTTGACCATCCCTTGAATTGTGGAAGGGGGAAAGGCTGTGCTGCATTTAAATGCCTTATTGGAATTGTGCTGTACTAACTAAGCAAACTTTCTTTCTTTTCACCTTATGTGAACTGAAAATAAAGCAAAAACATCCTTATCGTTCTTATATACATTTCTAGTCCCATCTATCCACCATGTAATGGAAATAAATAAAGGGAGACATGTTGAAGTGCATCCGGTATGACAACCATGTGTTTGCCACCCATAGCTACTTCAAGAAATACCATGAAGGGCATGAAGTGTGTTATTGGCAGGATTACCAGGTAAAAATATTGGGAAAAAGCCTGAGAACTAATACAGCCAGTACATTTAAGGAAGAAATATATCACATTGTTTTTGGGGGGGCTATATACACTTAAATGAAAACAAGGATTGTTTGTATGAATAAAAATAGACTTCAAGGGACCTGTAGGTCTGTAGTCTATTTTGCCATACCTTCAATGCCAAAAGTGACACGTTATTATGGTACATCATCTCCTAGCAAACTGTGTGCTTGATTAAGAATCCAACAATAACATGGCATTTAAATGTAGACTAACTTGGCTAATCACAATGAGTTTTATCGGTCCTGGCTCTGCCCAGAACTTCTATGTAGAACTTACTTTCAGCTGGTTTGATGAAAATTTGAACGTCTGCTGTTTCATTAGGCATAAACTCTGAAGTATTGTTATCTACTATGACTCTGTTGGGTATTAAGGCGTCATCTCCTGGCAGACCTGCACACAAAGAAAAATGCCTTAAGGTATAGATTTCCATATTAGGTAAAATACCGTATTCTCATTATCACTGCTAGGAATGTTTTATTCAATGTTGAACCAGCCATTGCATCTACTATGGGTTCTTCTATTGCTATTGTGTTCCCTGGTCTAACTTGGATCCTCCAGCTTTCCACTGAGAGGTGGAAATCTGCAAAAAAAAAGATTTGAAAATTCTTGCTCTATTTATTGCCAGCCCGCCCCCACCTCCCCAACTCTGTAATTTAAAAGAAAAAACTAAGCTGGCTCTTAAAAGGGAGGACTATTTTCTTGGCATCTATTCCCCACCCAAGCCAACTTTGTTCATAATGTCAGCCATGGAGGAGCATAGGGACATAAAGAGGAGCATATGGGCAATTTACACTGTACAATGAATATTGCTAGGTGTGCTTTGAAATATTGCAGACAAATAAAATGTATGTTTTTTCCATGTTGTATTAGTCATCTACTATACCTTTTAATGACATAAACATGATTCCATTTTCATTTTTTGCAGACAGTGTACGCTTTTCAACTGCAACACTTGGCTGCACCACTGACAAAGTATCATTAACGATGTTCAGAGAATATGCTTCCATTTGTCTTGTTAGACTGTTGTGAGGGGAAAAAACACAGGAAGGAAAGGTAAAGCTCAAAGTCCAAAAATGAATAAAAATCATAGCAATGAAACAACTCAAAGTAAGTTATAGCACCCAATAAGGTTTCTCCAGTTTAGAGCTGAGGCTTCTGACCTTAATTGACTTCTTCATAGAGTTTTAGAATCTTAATAAACTCCCAAACATTTATTATATGAAAATGACAGGTTATGTTGAAGGTTTCATAACATCATTACTAGAATTCCTTTCACATAGTAGGCATCATAGTAAGCTATGAATCCAAATATTAGATATTCTTCTAAATACAGGCAACACTTCCTCTTGATATCAGCAGCTGCTGTTATGGTTTTTACAATGCTTGTAAAAAAAAATGCACAGAAATCAGCTCTTTGGCACCACACATCACTATGGGTGTACTTGTTGGCTCTGATATGAATTACCATACGTTGCTTAGATATATATCTCTATATATACCTATATATATACAGTATATATGTATGTGTATATATATATATTAGGGATGCAAAGATACCGATACTAGATCGGTATTGGTGCCGATACCGAGTATTTGGGTGAGTACTCGTACTCGCCCAAATGCTCCGATACCTAGCACGAGTACTTCCTGTATCAGGAAGCCGGGCAGCGAATCATTACACGCTGCCCGGTTTCCTGATTGGCCAGGAAACGGCTCCATGCCCTCTCGTCACTTGTGATGAGACAGCATGGAGCCGACTTCCCGGCCAATCAGGAAGCCGGGTAGCATGCAATGACTCGCTGTCTGGCTTCCCGATTGGTCAGGAAACTAGCAAATCCAGCAGCCGGGCACCGTGTAATGACGCAGCGCCCGGCATTCTGTATATGCCGATTACTGTTATTTGTGTCTTCTAATTAATAATCTGTCTCCTTAAATACTATTGTCATATATTAAGGCAACTTGGTCATTAAAATAACAGAATAAGGTGTCCCCTGCAAAGTAAATAGTTAATACCACTTCCACTGCCAAGTTACTCTCTGCTTTATTAAAAAGAAGCCACCAGCTGAAGAATCTCCAAAATTCAGTGCATCAGGGAGGCTGGGAGTATGAATTTCCTGGTTCCTTGCTGTATGCTTTGGTTCTTCAGGACACTGTGGTGACATAAGAGCCAGTGTATCAAACTATTGAATGCAGCAGGGAACCAGGAATCCCACATTTGTTGAAGAATTGTATTATGAAGGTTCTTCTTCAGTAAAGCAAAGACTGGTATCATGGGCAACAGGAAAAGTGAATACTAACTATCTTCTTTGTATTTTACATTTACATTGGGGGGGCACAGTTAATTTAAAGCGAACCACTTACCAGTGGGCATCTGTGAGGAATAAATATTTAGTCTTAAAATTATTGTAATTGTGAAAGCGTACTTCTGTTTGCTTCCTTGTTAAGCATCTTCAGACTGATGCTCAGAGCTAAGATGCTGACCTGACAGCTGCCAGACCTCATGCTGTTAAAACATATTGCCTTCCAGCTTATAACAGTATCAAATAGCAGAGCTCATAGTTGTTTATATTTCTGTCACCTAGGTCTCTCCTATGTAATACTGTTGTGCACTCTTAGGAGATGGGAGACAGTGTGTTAACAGCCTAAGGTCTAGCAGCAACTTAGAATGCAGCAACTACCAGACTCAGAGGGCATCTTAGGTCTGACTGAGTTCTGAAAGTCAGCCTTAATCACAGTAAGTAAAAAAAGCAATGGGAAAGATACACATAATTAATAAGTAAGACTGTGCAATTATAATCAGTTAAGAATGATAATTAAATATCTTGCACAAACCCAGTTTTGACTGTTCCTCAAAAGCAGTATGGTTGTTCTATGTGTCCTGGGTGGTAACAGTAGGTTTAACTTAATTAATAAATCTCTGCACACCTATTTTGGTCATATATACATATACGCTATATTGCCAAAAGTATTGGGACACCCCTCCAAATCATTGGAATCAGATGGATGTTCCAATTAGCTCGGGGTATAAAATGCTGCTTCTACAAACATTTGTGAAAGAATGGGTCACTCTCAGGAGCTCAGTGAACACCGAGTGTAATGCAAAGCATTGGATGCAGTTGTGTAAAGGAGGAGGCATTATGGTGTGCGGTTGTTTTTCAGGGGTTGGGCTTGGCCCCTTAGTTCTAGAGAAGGGAATTCTTAAGGCATCAGCATACCAAGACATTCTGGACAATTTTATGCTCCCAACTTTGTGGGAACAGTTTGGTGATGGCCCCTTCCTGTTCCAACATGACTGCACACCAGTGCACAAAACAAGGTCCATAAAGACATAGATGAGTGAGTTTGGGGTGGAGAAACTGGACTGGCCTGCACAGAGTTCTGACCTCAACCCGATAGAACCCCTTTGGGATGAATTAGAGCGGAGACTGCGAGCCCGGTCTTCTCATCCAACATCAATACCTGACCTCACAAATGTGCTTCTGGAAGAATGGTCACACATTCCCATAGACAAACTCCTAAACCTTGTGGACACCTTCCCCGAAGAGTTGAAGCTGTTATAGCTGCAAAGGGTGGGCCAACTCAATATTGAACCCTATGGGCTAAGACTGGGATGCCATTAAAGTTCATGTGCGTGTAAAGGCCGGTGTCCCAATACTTTTTGCAATATAGTGTAAAATAACCATTTTATAATGTAAACATTACAAATTCAAATAATAAAAAATGCCTATTACTATAAAATAACCATTTTGCCAAGCAAATATCTACTTAGTTTACAGCCTGGAAATAAGCAAGACATAAACATTAAATAATTAATGTCTCTATCAAACTGCCTGATCAAACGGATGGGTTAGCTTTATGCAGACATCCAATTAAAGTATATTGGCAATACAACCTTATGTTTAGGTTTTCATACCTTTCTGCTGCATTTACTTGTACTTCATCATCTTTAAATTCTGTTTCATTAGCACTCAGTATTTGGCTAACAGTGGCAATTGCAGACTGGCCCACCTGAGGAATAGAAAGAAAGTTATGTTTGTACACTTAACTGGAAAGCATAACAATTTGGCCCGAGAGGCTCACACAAGCAACTGAGGACCCAGCCTACATGTTTGTAACATTTGCAACAAAGCATCATAAAAGCAGGAATATACTACATCCACAATTTTGTGGCTCCATTGACACCTATATTTTGAGTGCGATTAGAGATTCCTGCTGCAGGAATTTGCGATTTCCTGTAGCAGGAATCCCAAATCACACTTAAAATATAGGTGTCAATGGAGCCTAAATGTCATTATTACTCTATAATTAATCTATGTCATATGATCATGAAAGTTAAGAAGCACACTGTAAGACGTGCACACACGAAACACATGAAAAAAATCTACAAAGAGCTGAATAACATTGTTGTGTGTTTTTGTTGGAATTTTCACATTAGGATAATAAATACATGGCACACTAGTTATATGCCTTTTTTACTTTATCCTTATTTTATTTACATTTTTAGTTTAGGATAGATTAGTTACTAATTGAAACCTATAGCTTTTATTGCTGTCTGTCTGTGTCACCATCACTAAATCCCTCCCATCTTTCTGTGTGTTCCAAAGCAATAAAAGCCTCACTCAATAAAAGCAAATTGTCTGTAGGTATTTTGTTGATGTAGATCCTCAAATCATCTCTGAATGGGTGTTGACAATGTCCTTTCTTCTGGAGGATGGCTACTTTTGTTCCCCATGGTTCCCGTGTGTGTTGTAAAGTAGCCATCACTCCAAACTCACTCCCATAATAGACTATAGCTTCAATACAAATCAGCTAACTAAACGTGAATTTGTAGTCTGATAGCTTCTGGCAGCTTCAAAAGTTCATAGGAGCTCTTTCGCTTCATGAGCCACTGTCACTCAAGCAGCTGAAAGGCTGGGCGGGAGGCATGGCAGCGATATGACCAAGGGGACTACAGGTATGCCATGTATCAGCATGGAATCCTGTAGTTCCCAAATAGAAAGAAGAGGTGCAAACTGACCATGCTAGGATGCATCCCTTTCTTAGGAATTGTCAGAAAGAAATAGAATGGGGGTCTTCACAATGGGGACTGGCAGGATCACCAAATATTTACTGATTTTACATGACATGAGTATGCATATTAGAGAAGTCTGGGAAAATCAGAAGTTGGAAGTTCTAATCTACATATACATACCAGGTCTGTGATTTAGAGGATAGAAAGAAGAGGGTCAGCAGGTCAGCCCCATATTTCTCCCATGACAGGTTTTAGTGTTGAAGTGCAAGCACTTTATTGGGCCTGCATGTACTTCTATTAGCCATCAAAGTGATCACTGTGTCCCTCAGGAGCCACGTAGATTCTAAAAAGAGCCTGGCCACAGGATTTTGACTTCTCCTCAGATTAAAATGAAACCCCACCCCCTGTTAATTAGCCCTTAAAGTGACCCTAAATTCAGCAGTTAAATCTTAAAAATACATTCAATTAACTTAACTATTAATGAAAATGTATCTTATTTGTGTATCACTCAGCTGTAGATTCTCAAATCATCTCTGAATTGGTGCTGACACTGTCCTTCCTTCTGGACAGTGATTATGTTTGTTCCCCATGGTCCCTGTGTTTGTTGAAAGGGAGCCACCACTCCAAGCTCGCCCCCATGATAGACTATAATCTCGTGTTTAGTTTACTAATTTGTATTGAGACAGTAGTCCATTACAAGAGTGAGCTTGGAGTGGTGGCGACTTTACAACACACACAGGGACCATGGGGAACAAAAGTAGCCACCCTGCAGAAGGAAGGACATTGTCAGCACCAATTCAGAGATGTTTTGAGGATCTACAGCCGAGTGGTGCACAAATAAGGTAGCGTATTGTAAATAGTTTGGGTACTTTAATTTATTTTTAAGATTTACCTCCTGAGTTTAGTGTCACTTTGAATGCTAGACCCTCTACTATCCTTTGAGGTTCTGGCTTTTGACAGGTGATTGACAGTGCTGAGGTATAGTGTTAGGAGGTTTGTGGAGCCTAACTGTGACTTGTAGAGAAGCCAAGGGATTTAAGCGCTTTTTAAATCAGATCAGGGAAGATCTAGTAACAAAACAAGTTTATTGTACGTACATCTTCTATAGCATCTGATACATTCAGTAACCTGTTCACAATCCTAATGGCATTTGTGATGTCTTCTGCCTGCAGACTTTGAGGCTCTGAAGTCAAGATCTGAGTTGTGACAGCAACGTCCTTGGCATTTTCTGTGTCTATTTGTGTCTAAGTGAAGAAGAATTCAAGTGAAAAGATTATATCACACTTTAATCGTTTCTAACTACAAAGAAATGACAAGCAAAGCTTTCGTCGAACAGCAGTAGGCAAGCTATTTGAGGGTCTCTCATTAGAGCTTCATTAACTTCAAAGGGTCCCAGATAGTAATTTACATTTTAGTTAGAACATAGCAAATAATGGTCAAAGACATGTCAGTCAAGCCAGCTACATGTCAGTCAAGCCAGCTGCAGCTACTGAGATGAGTTGCACAAAGATTTAAAAATATTTACAGAAAGAACACCACTGATATTAACAGTTACATTTACCAAAAGTGGTAGTATAGTATAGTATAGTCCACCAATTAGATGGCATTAATATCCATACCATTCCAGGCAGTCTTGTAGCTGGCATTTACAGGTGAGCTAAGGAATATTTATAAGTTGGTATGAGCTACTATGAAGTCCTCTAATTTATAAAACATTTGTCAGTAAAACATATATAGAAAATCTATAACTATTATTTATCCACAAGGCTTGGAGGACAAGTGTGGGCTATATGCAACACATGCCAGATTTGCCTTGCTTATTTCTGAGTACAAAATTTGTATCTGTTAATTTATTTTCTACACCAGCCTTGCAGATGTCAGTGAGGAAAAAAATCACTCTTGAAATTCATATTTTTCCCTGGTCCCTACGTGTGCCTCAAGAGCAGACCAAGAGAGCTGTGGAGGCACATTAATAGCTATATTCACCATCCAGACTACCAGTTTGGCTTTAAGGGCTAGTTCACACCAACCGCGGAGCAGGTGCAGGGCAGAGCAGGTGCGGACCGGATCAAAACTGTGTCCAATGTATTCCTATGGTATTTTTAGCTACAGTTCGCATTGCAGCGTGCAGATCCAGAGCAGGTCCAGAGCAGGTAAAAAAAACTGCAGCAGGCCCTATTTTACCTGCTCTAGATCTGCAAACGTATCAAAAACGCATCAAAAACGCATGCAAATGCCTGGAATGCACTGATAGCCCATGTTAAACTATAAAAAAATTGCCAAAAAACGCGTCAAAAACGCATCTAAAAGACTAGCGTGCGTGTAGCAGAAACCTGACCGGATCTGCTCCGCATTTGGTGTGAACAAGGCCTTAGGTAGACAGTTAGAAGTTGATATACAAAGTTTCTATACCTAGTATCATGCATGCTTAAAGCGGACCTTTACCCATATCTTTAAAAAACAACAAAGACACCTTTAGAAATGTTTAGTAATGACAATCTACATACACATACTTCTAGATACTTGCTGGCTTTGTATTCTTTGCATTCCTTATATCTCTTTTCTTCCCCATTCTTCTGACAGTGGCCATGTTTACTAAGGGCACATTACTAGCTCTCCTATTACTTCCTGGATTTCTGGCACATGTGACTAGACATGTGGCCCTGCACATCATCTCAGAAGAGGAAAATGCCATTCCCTGAGATCTCGTGAGATTACAGATGAGATTTCCCAACAATGCTCTGCTGATTACAAGGCGATCCCAGTGTGCATTGCTTTGGCAAACTGAAGTTATTTTGCCCTTTGAACGCAGGAAGTGAGTGCTCTGCAAGTGTAAGTATTTCATAATCACAGCATTTTACACCTCGCTTGACCTATGTTATTATTAATCATTTTTTTGAGTGTACAGGTCCGTTTTAACAACCTTCCTTCTTCAAATCCTGGCATAAAACATAGACGCACAATTTTCAGGTGAACCACTACTGTTTCAGCTTCCGGAACTCTAGACAGCTCAACAAATTCAGAAGTTACCAATACCACCAGTGCCATTGCAGAGAAATTGTCAAATAATGTGCTGTTTAAGATCCCTGACCACTATGTACAGTTCATTTTGTAAGATTGCTGGTCATGGACATTATCCCTCCTCTCCTCAGTAATACAAGTGTTGTTGACATCTGATGTGGCGGAGCTGATTGTCTCTTTTCCAGACCATTTCAGAAGAATGGTTTTATCGTGCAAGGAGCATTTAAATTATTGCAGTGGCTGGAAACATTTTTAATTATAGAACCTTGAAGTGACACTAAACTAAGGAGTTGAATCTTAAAAATCCCTTCAAGTACCTTAACCTTCTTGGCGGTATTCCCGGGTGTGGCTCGGGGTTAATGTTCTGTACCATAAGCGGTAACCCCAAGCCACACTTGGGAATACACAGCGCGTCTCTTACCTTGTCCCTTGAGCCGCGCTGTGTCCTCCGGCCGATGCTGGCATCGGGGTTCCGTCATTTGCGAGCGCCCGCCTTGCAGGGGGGCGGAACCGGCGGGAGATTCAAAAGTTAAAAAATAAAACCAAAAAAATAGAACGAAAAAAGGGGAAAAAAAAGAAAAAATCGTACCGCCAGGGAGGTTAACTATTAACAAAAATGTATTTTATTTGTGTAGATCCTCAAATCATCTCTGGATTGGTGCTGACACTGTCCCTCCTTTTGGAGAGTGGCTACTTTTGCTCCCCATGGTCCCCGTGTGTGTTGTGAAGTGGCCACCACTCCAAGCTCACTCCTGTGATAGACTACAATCTCAGGTTTAGTTTACTAATTTGTATTGAGATTGTAGTCCATCACGGGAGTGAGCTTGGAGCGGTGGCTACTTTACAACACACGAGGAGCATGGGGGACAAAAGTAGCCACCCTCCAGATGGACGGACAGTGTCAGCACCAATTCAGAGAATTTGAGGATCTACCACTGAGTGAAACACAAATAAGCTAAATACAGTATGTGTTAATAGTTAATGTACATGAATCCATTTTTAAGATTTAACTTCTGAGTTTAGTGTCACTTTAAAGTGGAAACAGAAGCAAACCTTTTTTGTTAATTTTTATAGAATAAAAGAAGGTTATAACCCCTGTCAGCTTTTTTTGTCATCTGTGTCCCATTGTGGAGATTTCCCTTCCCTTCCTGTCTGATACCACACTGTGAAGAAATCCCTCCAAAGCAGGGGAAATCCCTGGTCAGCAGGGTCACCAGAACTAGTTTTGCATCTATTCCTGTTCTGATGACAACCCAAAATGTGGGATTGTCTTTTACTTTCAGTGATAATGGTAACCAGGGTAAATAGAGAGGGTAAGTAGAGAGGGTGAATCTCCCGGGGGACACAGACACCAATAAAAATCTGGGGTGAGTCGCACTTTAAAATAGAATACATTCGAGGCTTATCTTTGTTATGTACATAGTTTTAAGAGGCTATAGTTCTGCATGCCACACAGTAAGAGTGTATGCTCCTTATTATTATACAGTATGTTACTATAAGGCTCCATGCACATATAGCGTTTGCGGTTCCCGCGCGGAAGGCCGGAAGGGACAAAAACGATAATATTTTTAATCGGCATGGATGCCGCTCGTTTGCAACTATTAAATAGCCGCAAACGTGCGGAATCTGCCAGATTATAGCGCTTGTACCGCACGGTCCCCACAATGGTCTGACCGATGCACATTAAAGTGCATTGTATTTTCTATTTAGAGTGGCTCCGTGCGTATCCGTACAGCCGAATACACGCGGACAGCCGCTCAGGTGTGAATGGAGCCTAAGGCCCCATTCACACTGCGCGATTCTCAAATCGCGCGTTTGTCGCGCGATTTGCATTTTGCGCGATATCGCGCGATTTGTATGCAAATGCTTGCATCGAAAAGCATTGAATCGCGGCAAAATCCGCTCCAAAAAGGGTCCTGCTGTAGCGACACATGACCCGCGACAGCAGGACCCTTTGCCCCATTGCCAAGCATTGGAGAGCGATATCGCGCGGTAAATAGACACGATATCGCGGGAATTACCGCGCGATAAATCGCTCAATGTGAACGAGGCCTAAGATGAGCTAACATCTCTCGAAAAAGACAGATCCATGCTCTAAATAAGAAACAAGCTGACTTGCCCAAAGAGAAATACTCCATGTGTATGGCATTTACCCTAAGGACTATGACTGGTGTATATATTAAAGCATATGTTTCTTACATGTCTTTAGTTTGTGGAAGGACACTTACCTTGTCAGCAAGTGTCTCCAGACTTTGATTACAATTTTGAGTTCTAATAGTTAAATTACTACCAATATTTACACACTGAATGGTAGCCAGTGGGGAATTAGCTAAAGGAATAATAGAAAATGTTAGCATTTGGCATAAATTGTGGTGTACAGATGAATTAAATATAGAGAGTGATGTGTTAAATAAATATATAGATAGAGAGATAAAACCCAATTCCCAAAAAGTTGAGACAGTGTAAAATTTACATGCAAAGATTGCAAATCTCATAAACCGATATTTTATTCACAATAGAACATAGAAAATATATCAAATGTTTAAACTGAGAAAATTTACTATTTTAAGAAATAAAATAAGCTAATTTTGAAAATGATGGCAGCAACACGTCTCCAAAAAGTTGGGACAGGGCAACAAAAAGCTGGCAACGTAAGTGGTACTAACAAGAAAGATCTGGAAGAACATCAACTAATTAGGTTAATTGTCAACAGGTCAGTAACATGATTGGGTATAAAAAGAGCATTTAAGAGAGTCAGAGTGAGTCAGAAGTAAAGATGGGCAGAGGTTCACCAACTTGTGAAAAGCTGCATCTAAAAATTGTTGAACAATTTCAGAATAATGTTCCTCAAAGTAAAATTGCAAAGACTTTAAATATATCATTATCTACAGTACATAATATCCACTGGCGGTACTACCAGGGTCGCTGCGGTCGCAATTGTGACCGGGCCCTGGCGTTCCGCCTTTTGGGGGGGGCCTAGAGAGGAAGCAGATGGCCTGAAAGCTTCCTCATGCTGTCCCCCCCCTTCAGCCGCCGCTCTGCATGTACGGGTGGCTGTGCGGGGATAGAGAGGCTCTGCCTGTCACTTGTGTGCCTGGCGGGGCCGCTACCGACACAGCAGGCACCGCCAGGCAGCACATTCTTCAGCTTCGTGAGGACGGACCCTCTTCACTCAGCCCCGCGGCAGCCCTTAGGGGGGCCTAGACGGTTGGGCAGAAAATGACATGGGAGTGTGAAGATACGACCGGAGGACGGAGGAGGCAAGCTGTTAGCAGGTATGAGGAGCTCTCCTGCACTCACAGCTGCTCCTATAGTATACATTCTGGCCGAGAGCAACGTGTGTGTGTGAGGGGGGGGGATTCTTCTCCATGTCTCAGGCTTCTCCTCTCTTCCTCCCCTTGCTGCTTGAACTATGAACAGGCTGAATAGCGATGTTTTGTGTGTGTCCTGCATTGCATGTGTATTGTGTGTCCTGCATTGCATGTGTATTATGTGTCCTGCATTGCATGTGTATTGTGTGTCCTGCATTGCATGTGTATTATGTGACCTGCATTGCATGTGTATTATGTGTCCTGCATTGCATGTGTATTGTGTGTCCTGCATTGCATGTGTATTGTGTGTCCTGCATTGCATGTGTATTATGTGACCTGCATTGCATGTGTATTATGTGTCCTGTATTGCATGTGTATTGTGTGTCCTGCATTGCATGTGTATTATGTGTCCTGTATTGCATGTGTATTGCGTGTCCTATATTGCGTGTGTCCTGTATTTTGTGTCCTGTATTGCTGGTGTATTGCGTGTCCTGTATTGTGTGTGTATTGTGTGTACTGTATTGCGTGTGTATTGTGTGTCCTGTATTGCGTGTACTGTATTGTGTTTGTACTGTGTGTGTATTATGTGTTGTGTGTGTGTATTAGGCCTCATTCACACTGGGCGCACACGTCCATGTGGCGTGCACACCTGCAAACGCTTGATCCCTGGAGGGAGAGGTGCTGCATGTGATTGCGCGCAGTAGTATGTTCTCCTCTATGGGAGGACACGGATGTACACTGTCATCCGTGTCTGATGGATCCTGTCTGCGTCCAAGTGCGGACCCCCGTACTCACTTATATGTGAAGTCCAGGTGTCCGTATGACATCGTACAGCTGTGCCCTCCCATGTGAACAACAGGCTGCTGAGCGCAACCACACGCAGCACTTGTCCCTCCCGGGATCGGCTGTTTACAGGCATGCATGCTGCATGGACATGTACACGTAGTGTAAGTGAGGCCTTATGTGTTGTGTGTGTACTTTGTGTGTTTTGTGTGTGTGGTCTGCCGTGCGTTGGTTTGTACAGCGACCATTTCTAAACTGTAGAGGATCTTCAGGGGTGGGCAAACTCTGGCTCCGTAACTGTGGTGGAGCTCCAAGACCCATGATGCATTGCCAGACTTTTGCATATGCATGCCTCCCACGGTAAGATGCATGGTGGGATTAGTAGTTTTACCACAGCTAGGGGAATGAAATTTGCCCACCCCTTGTAATAATGCATTGGGTGGATTTTATATGTGCAAAGTCCAAGGGGGCCCCATAATCTCTTATCGCCCAGGGGCCCCATATGTTGTCAGTCCGCCCTGCCTGCCAAAGACGAGGAAGCTGAGCGGCTGTAAGAGTCGGGTAAGTCCGGTGTGGGGGGGAGTAAGAAGCTGCTGCTGCTATTATAATTATTCACATTATAATGTATTGCTGGAACTTGTAGTCCTGCATAGTTGGTGCTATTCTGCATTACTGTATGATGATTATACAGCATTGCAGAATAGCACTAAAAGCTTGTTATTATTATTTACATTATAATGCATTGCTTGTGGAAAGGTGCTGAAACAAAAACTGCTTCTAGGAGTCCTTGCCAGTGGCATCTACTATGCGGAAAAAGTATACTGACTGGTGCCCACCCAAAACTGAATCAGTTTAAAAAGAATAAACAATACTTGCCATTTTGAGATGTATTGTCGCAACGTTCTTTTGAATAGCCATACATGCCAACCAAAACGATTCCAAAGTCATAACATATACCGCTGTCATCACAAGCATGTGTTAGATTGCAAAAGTTTTCTGCACATAAAAAGTACATTGAAATTAAAATTTTTAGATAAAGGGCTTTTTTTTAAAGGTATGTGTAGCAGTTTTGTATATATATTCTGTATTTTATAGAATTTATAGTATTTTTTTTTAAAGGGTCCACTTACAAAGCAGCAGTACGGCCACTGCTTTAACATAAAAAAAGTTCTGCCCATTTATAAAGCACAGCAATGTGCTCTGAAGATGTGCTTTGCACTCTACCAGCTTTAGGAATCTGAAGTTGGCAGATCGCTATAAAATGAAAGGAGCATTAAAAAAATCAGAGTTTGCCTTGGGCGGCACTTTCCAGGGGGGTGGCAAAACGCCACCCCCTAATCGTTGCGGCGAAGTGGGCTGCACAGAATCAGGCATCCTTAGGAAAATTAGGTGGTTGCTCGTTGGGTCTCACAGCCGCCTAATTTACCTGAGAAAGATGCTGGGTAGAGGAGGAGGAGGTGGGACCAAAGGCGGGGCGGAGGAGGGACCGAGGCAGGACCAAAGGCAGCGCTGGGCCCGGCTGGGACGGGGCTGAGTGAGATGCGGCTTGGCGAGCGGAGCTGTGGGCGGCTTGGGGCTGCCCATACCATACCATCTGATGGCGGGATGACCTGGAGGCTGGCTGAGGGGCTTCAGATAAGAGGAGCAGCACATGTGTGCAGGGAAAGGGACCCTGCACAGCCCACCATAAATCCTGCACAGCCCACCTGTGAGTCCCAGGTGGGCTGTGCAGGGTCTATGGTAGGCTGTGTGGGGCCTTTGTTGGGCACTGCGTGGTCTATGGTGGGCTGTGCGGCATCTGTGGTGGGCTTTACAAGGTCTCAGATGAGTTATGCGTGGTCTATGGTGGACTATGTGGGGTCTGTGGTGGGCTCTGCAAGGTCTAAGGTGGGCTGTGCGGGGTCTGTGGTGGGCTCTGCAAAATCTCAAGTAGGCTGTGCGGGGTCTACGGTGGGCTGTGCGGGGTCTGTGGTGGGCTCTGTGGGGTCTGTGGTGGGCTCTCCAGGGTTTCAGGTGGGCTGTGCAGGGTCTATGATGGGCTGTGTGGGATCCTTGGTGGGCTATACGGCGTCTATGGTGGCTTGTGCAGGGTCTGTGTTGGGCTCTACAAGGTCTCAGATGGGCTACGCTGGGTCTATAGTGGGCTATGTGGGTCTGAGGAGGGGCTCTGCAAGGTCTCAGGTGGGCTGTGTGGGGTCTGTGGTGGAGTCTGTAAAGTCTCAAGTAGGCTATGCGGCGTCTGTGGTGGGCTGTGCCAGGTCTATGGTGGGCTGTGTGGGATCTTTGGTGGGCCATGCGGGGTCTATGGTGGGCTGTGCAGGGTCTGTGGTGGGGTCTGCAGGATCTATGGTGCGCTCTGCGAGGTCTCAGGTGGGTTCTGCAAGTCTATGGTGCAGGGCCCAAAGCCCACCTGAGAACCCGGCTTCCCAGCTATGCTACTAACGCAACCTGTCAGGAGCTGGATACAACGTGACTGACAGGTTGCGCAAAATGTCTTAAACAGAAAGGGGTGGGGCAAAATTAGATTGGGGGGTGCCCAAGTGTAGTCTTGCCTATGGCAGCACAAAACCTACATACACCACTATGTGTCACATCAAATTAAAGCCCATTGTGTCCTTTACAAAATGGTATATAATATGTGTAGGTGCAATTAATGAGGAAGATGGAAATTATGGTTAAACAAACACAGAGCAAAAATGGCAAAATTGTTCTGGTCCTCAGGACAAAAGTGTGACGGCCTTACAGATTTGGTAAAATGAAGCTTATTAAAGGGTGTATCCCAATGCAAATAAGCCCGCCTGCCCCCAGACCACCACAACCAAAGGGTCAATGCTTGTGGGGAAGAGGCTCTTGTACCCATCTTCACATGGACAAGGTGCATTTCCAGGGGGTACCCCTGGAAAAGCACCCTACCAGTACAGAGGGCATGCAGACTGGTATGGCAGTGGAGGGGGGGGCACTCGCTCGTCGTCGCCCACCCCCTCCTTAAAATTCCTACCAGACCTAAAGGGCCTGGTATGACTTTTGGGGGAACCCCACACACTTTTTTATTTTTACTTTGGGGGGTACCTCCTAACTTTGCTACCACACCTAAAGGGTCTGGTATGGATCGGGAGGATGACCGCACGCTGTTTTAAAAAAAAAAATTGTTTACATTTGTGTGGAGAAGAGACCACTTTGGCAGACCGTTCTCCACGCTTCGGATGTCACTATGGCTCAGCCAAGCCGAAGCATATGCGTTCAGCTAGGCTGAGCTTTGGCTGCCTTCGGTATTGTGAATAGCCCGTACATTAGCCCTTCGGTCAAATGAACCGAAGGAAGCTTCGGCTTAATCCTTCGGCTCTTTAGTGATAACCCTCTAAATGTTTTAGGATGTCCCTGACTGTGCTAACCAAAGGCTAAAGGAATATAACCCTAGATTCTCCACTGTATGTTGACAACGTTAATGAGAAAACACAATCCTCAAATTTCAGTCTTTCTATAAGGACAGATCACTGTGAAGGTGCTCAGAAAAACCTGAAATCACCCATGTTGTCTGCTGCAACAAAATATCTAAAAGAAATTTTTAACAAAAATATTTTTCATTATGCTGTGTGAATGGGAACACATGATATACATATAGAGGGACTTTCTCGAATTTGACTGCAAAAGTGGAAATGCACGTTAGGCAGCGTTTGCTTACAACAAATTTTTCAGTGTGGCCTGGTGGACCAGTTTTCCCTTACAGTCCTCATGTGTGAATAGTGAACCAGAAGAAATGTATTATATGATCCAATGTGATATACATACAATATATACCTTCTGTGCAGAGCTCCCCAGTGTAGTATTCCGAACAGCGGCAACGATTATTTGTACAAATTCCTCCATTCTGACATTCCAGAAGGCAGGGAGGTGGAGGGGTTGGATCAGATGGTTCTGTAAAAACAAAAATTTGTAGTCAACTAGAAAGACATTTTATGCTGGAGAACTAGCGGTGTGAATATTTCACTGTAGCTTTTTATTACAATAAAGCAGAACTCCATAATTAATTCATTGATTGCTGATGTGCTTGGACAAAATGTAAAGAACTACATTACTGTATATTTGTTTGATCTACACTCATTATTGAAAAACAAATTGAGAGTTTAATACTATTTTATGGTAAGTATTCATATCTGATACCCAGAGGGCCAATGAGGATGCTGAAAATCACTGTGGAGGTCCGCATTGCATGCAGTGATAGCCATGATCTTCCAGCAGCGGCTGCAATGGTTTCCTCTGCATGCTGGGAACAGGGAGTTGTTCACTCGGCACCACCAAGATTCTGAATTGTTTTAAATAAATTCAAGATATTTTTTGATTGGATGAGGTGGAGAAGAGGGGCGGATGACAAAACAATCTCCACCTACAATTTTCAGCATCCCCAGTGGCCCTCCAGAGATCAGATATGGATACTTTAATTGAGCCAAGCTGGGCCAATGTAAATTTTCCATAAAATGCTTTAAAAATAAAGGTTTATACTCAATGATTCCTTAGACTATTTATTTTTAAAGTGATTCTGTGGGTGTAAAAAAAACAACAATATTCTACAAAGGAGGACGGTAAGCCTCCTGCCTTTAAAAGTTACTGTAGGTTAACTAAGGAACTACCAAAATTCACAGTGGGACATTTATTAATTTTGTTGCACAGCAAAGCGGAGTAATGAGATAGATCATAGGACAGAATTTCTACGAAGTTACAGCATGAGTCATGAATTCCTCCCTCAGCTTCTCTAAGGTAACTATGTGACAGTATGAAACCTGACTCTAACTACCTTTTTTTTCATTTCTATGGGAGTTTTAATTATAACGTTATAAACATATGCAAGTGAGGAA